ATGACAAGGTCAGCTGCCCTTCTCCGATGGAGAAACTGAGTCTGGGATCTTCCCAGGGCACCACCCATTTCCTCCCACCCAGAGAAAAAAGGAAGGAGGTAGTGGTCAGCCGGGAAGAGTCTGGGCTGGAATGGGCTGGGTGGGGATGGATAGAGGCCCTGCTTCCGTTTAACCACAGCCCTGGGACTGTCCCAAAAGGGAAGCAAAAGCTGCTTGTCCTCTTGTCCTGTACCCCGAGGCGGGGGGAGCTGGGGTACCTGGGGCCTGGGGAGGCTGCAGCCACATGGCCTTCTAGCTGCTCTTTCCTTCCTCAGCCTGTATCTATCACAAGACCCTTGCTTTGCTGAGGCCCCTTGTTCCTGTCTTCCCATCTGTCTAGTCTCTGTTTACCTCTCTGCTCTCAGTTCATCTCTTTCCTGGCCTCCCAAGCTCCCAGCCTCCTCCCCCATCACTGCCATCCTGAACTGACACCCCCCCCCCAGGGGCAGGAATCATCAGCTGACCAGACTAGGTCATGAATGCTGGCTGAGTGAGTGAGTGAGTGAGTGAGTGAGTGAGTGAGTGAGTGACAGGAGGAGGGATGGGATACACAAGTCACCCCATCCCTCTCCACAGCCTTCTCTGGCCTTTATATCTACCCTGCCACCCTGGTGAGTGCCCTGTCCCTATAAGGCCACCTCTGTCACTCACTCCTGGCCCCCAAATGCCTCTCCCTCACCTCTCAGCCCATCCTGCCTGGATGGAGACAAATGGACGGGCTCCAGTCAGGGGCATTTGGGAGGTTCCAGGCACTGTTGCCGTTTTGCAGATTCAGAACTCTCCTCTAACCCCCATAGGGCACTCCACCACCCTCAGACAGTGTCCTGGTCCCCTGACCCACACACTTGCTTTCTGGCACAAAGCAACACCCAGATCTCTGCAGGAGCTCACTCAGGGTGGGCAAGGCGAGGAGCCAACAGGCCCCCAACACCTAGATCCTCAGCCCCCACCCTGCCCCCTGCACACCAGGCTGTGTGAAGGGAGTGTAGAACCTGCTAAAGAGGCCTCTCCATTGTTTGGGTTTTGTTTCTGTCTTTGAGACAGTGTCTCTCTAGGTAGGCACAGGCAGGCTTCAAATTCATGACCATCCGTCCTCCTATCTCATCCTTCAGTGTTAGAATTATCCGAATGTACCACCATGCCTGGCTCCGTCGAGCCCTTTAAATCCCTGATAGACGATTCTGACGTCTGGCTCAGTGTCAGTGCTGTGTGGAACCACACTGTGTGGTCCAGGTGACAGTGACAAGGAAAGTGTCCTCAGATGTCGTCAGCACAGGCCGCTTTGTTCCCACACAGTTCCACAGTAGCTGGTTCAGTCTGAGGATGCGGGCCTGAGAGAACAGACACTACAGACAGCACACAGAATGGCCAGGGCAGCAGGGATGGGAGGGTGGGTACCACTCAGCACAGGATGACAAGGGCACTGGGAAAACAGATCAGAATGGGAACAGAGGGTAGCGGGATGTTTTAGGGAGACCTCAAAGCATATACATATGAGGATTATGGAAGGATCCAGAAATATCTCAGCAGACCCACAGCCGGAGCAGAGGCCAAGAGGTGTCAAGGAAATGATGAGTCTGAGGGTGAGGTAGGAAGCAGGGCACAGGGACAGCTTCTCCTCAGGGAAGGTGGGAGCCATGGCAGGATCAGAGCAGGACAGTGAGTGAGCCAGCCTGGATCTATGAAGCCCCTTGGGGCTGAGAGGGTGAGCCACAGACGGTGAGGAATGAGGCAGGGGGGCCAGTTGAGAGATGGCCTAGGAGGGATGAGCCTTGAAGGCCAACCAGGTGAGGCAGCAGTGGGGGGAACTGTGGGGATTTCCAGAACCCCAGGAAGGCAGAGCCAGAGGGATTTGTGGGCACTGAGGGTGTGCGGTTAGGGAGAGAGTGGCTGCCTGGCTCCAGGATGGAGGCCATGGCATTAGTGGGCCGAGTGCTGTTTTCTGAGCCAAGGGGAAAAAACAACTGTGTCCCTCCTTGGGTTGTGGGTCTGCCTCAGACCTAACAGGCAGGCTGACGTACCCTGGGTACCCCTACAAGGGCTTAGAAGACCTCACAGGCCGGAGCACACTGGATTGGGCCAGTCTCAGCAAGGGAGAGATTGTTTGAGAGGCTTGAAGGCAGTGGGGTTGAGAGAGGAGACCAAGTGCCCTGGAGAGGGTTACCCGGCAGCCTTCCCCACTGAGGAGACCAGAAATGGGTGGGCTAGCCCAGGTCACCAGGACACATGGGGGGTGGGGGATAGGGCGGGACTGTTCTGAAATATTGTCTCAATCAATAAGAGATGAGACCCTGCCTGGTTAGGATGTATTGACTGTTGTCGTGGAAGAGGCATCTGGTCCCACCGCAGCCACTGGGATCCACGAAGAAAGAAGTGACAAGATTCCAACCCTAGGCATACAGAGCAATGACACACCAGATGCCTCTCTGTAAGATTTAACTGTCTTTGCCTTTCCAGTCTTGAAGACAGGACAAGGAAACAACAGAAAGAAGCCTGAGGGAAGAAAATGGAGAAGGACAGGAAGGGTCCCTAGGGGATCAAAGCCTCCTGCCTCTGACTTGTGCCAGCAGCCAGCTCTAAACCCCCACACAGCTGATTCGGCTCCGGCTCCAAGAAGGTGCTCTTGTTCACTGAGCGCTGCACTGTGCCAGGCAAACCCCTAACCCTCCACTGCTCAGGGCAGGCCTGCCTGCTCCCCAGCTCCACACTCAATGAAGTGTGGGTGTTATAGGCCAGGAAACCCCTTAGATCCAACTTGCCCACCTAAGTGAACATTGTCTCCACAAGACCTCTGTGCCCCCCCCCAGTCCCTCCCCTCTGTTTCCATGTCTCCTCGGACAGCTCACCACCCGAAGGCCCCATTTCCCAGAATTCCTTGTTCCCATGGGGCAAGTTCTGAGGCCTCCATGGTCCTACTAGTAGCTCCCACTTTCTGACTGCTTGTGGGGAGCAGGAGAGACCTGGGCTCTGGGCTTCACCTGGTGTTGGGGCCCAATACCCGTGGCACGAAGAAACCCCAGGCCTAGCCAAGGCTGGCTCTGTCCCCTACTTGAATAGTGGCTTGCCAGCTGGGAGTAGAACAGCATGGAGTCTCATCGGAAGCTGGAGGAGGCTAAAGACTCTCAACTGGCCTAACATGTCTCCATGTGGCCCCAGCTCACAGGGGCCCCACCCAGGCCACCACCACCATCTCAGAGGCCCATTGTTCCCGCCTGGCTCAGCTCCAGGGTCTGGCCCCACCCAGGCTCCCACTTCCCTCTGGGATCCCCAGCACCCTAGCCCAGGCCTCGAAGGGGCCTCTCAAGGTGCCAGCTGAGGCAGCCCCACCGGGACACAAGGCAGCTTCTCCTCTCTGAGCCTGTTTCCCCATTGGCAGTATGGGGTGGCAGGACCTGAAGGGAGGCAACAAAGATTGTTCATGTTTGGTGGGTGGCTGAGTGCCAAGTAGGGTGTGAACTGAGGCCCAAGCTGTGTTCTTCCTCTGCCCTCCCTGAACCTAGAGGACCAAGCCAGGAGCAGCCATTGTGGGCCTGGGTGGAAGCCAAGGCAGGGTCTCCCTTCCACGTGCAGAGTGACTCTGTGTGGCAGTGGGCAGGGTGTGGCAGTCTCTGGGCCTCAGCAGAGGGAAGACAGCAGCTGGATGGATGCTCCCCCTCAGCGAGAAGGAAAGGGAGGGGCGGGGCTAAGTTTTCTTTTCTTTAATTTTTTTTTTCTTTTTAGCACCAAGGGCTTGAATGAAAACCAGTAGACAGAGATGCTATTGTGAAGGGCCTGAGACTCCCGGGCAGGCGGAAGAGCATCCTGGGTCTCAGGGTGGGTAAACACAGAGGCTGGGGCATAGGTCACAGGCACAGGGGGGTCTCCCACACCTCCTGCAGGGGCCTGGCCTGGGTGACAGTAGTCAGCCCTGTGCATTTCCTGTGTCCAGTTCCACGAGGTCCATCATGCCTCACCTCTGGGAGCCTTGTTTTCCATCTTCAAAATGTGCACAGTGCATTCCTGCTGGAGAGTGACCCATTGCTAAGACCTCAGGGCCACTTGACCCTAGTCCAGCCATTTGCTACTCTGTGGCTTAGGTAAGCCACTTGGCCTCTCTGTTCTTACAGCTCCCATGTGTCAAATGGAAAGCATCCAACACTCGCCCTCCAGGAATATGAACGATGGGACACTGGCACCTGCAGGCATTGCCCGCTGCCCTCTGCCTGCTACTGGTCCTCCAGAGCCTTCAAAGGGGTCAGACAAAGGCTTTCTTCTTGCACACCTGTGATCGGAAACACACAGTGTGGTCACACAGCAAGGCCAGCAGACTGAAATTCAAACTCCAAAGTGAAATGCAGCTGTGCCTGGAAGGGGCTCCAGACTCAGGCCTTTGTCCCCTCAGGGGCCTCCTGCCTCTGCCAACCTCTGATCATCCTACCTGGGCAACTCTTGTTGAGCCTTTCCCAGCCTCCACCATGACCCAAAGGCCTCGATGCTCACTGAGGAAAGTGACCTTGGTTATTTAACTCATGAAAAGGAAAAGGGGAACAGACATTTGAGGCCTCACTCCACCCTCACAACTCAAAGTGGCCCAAAATGAGGTGGGGGAGGAGCCCTGGCTGCTCCTAGACACTGCCTACCTTGCAGCTCAGCTAAGGAAACAGAGGGAGAGGATGTGAAGTGTCCCCGAGACTCACTCAGTTTACTGTCTGTGAAGTCGGGCTGCAGTCTGGGGGCCCATAGGCTGTATGGAGGCATGGTCCTCAATGACTGCTTACTGTTATTCCTGCCCTTGTTGTTGATGGCTGGTTACTGTTGCTCTTGTCCATTGCATTGTCACAGGGACACACTGACTGCAAAACACACAGCCTCTCCTGCCTAAAAACACCAGGCCATACCTCAGGCCAGCCCTGATCATTGTCTTAGTTATAATCCTTAGGGAAAGGAAAATGCCTCCAGGAGTCACCAAGGTAAGCCAATGCCCCTCAATGCCAGGCCCCAGGCCCTCCAGGCCTGCCCCAACAATGTCTGCCCAACCTGACTGGGCCTGGCACGGGCTCAATGTGCACATTGTCTGGGTCTACCCCCTCCCCTGGTTTCATCCTTCCTCCGGCTGGGGATCCGGCCCAGCCAGGGAGGCACTTGAGGGAAATTGGAAACCCTGTAGGGCAGCTGCAAGAGGTGGCCAGGTAGCCTCCCCTGGGCCACTGCCATCAGTCTGTTGCTCCACGGAGCTTTGCCCTGAGAGAGCCTCACATGGTGCCCATTTTCCAGAGAGGAAGAGCAAGACCTGGAGAGTGAGATCACAGCTCAGGTTCACAGGGTGCTGTGGTAGCTTGGGTCAGGGTGTGCAGGAGCATTCCCCAGGAGAGAATGAAGCCCAGCAGCTCCTGGAGACAGGGGAGGCACAAACCTGAGACAGAGCATCTTGGGCAAGGCTTATGTGCTACAAATTCAAAGTCATCAATGCTCCTGTCTCACATAAACACCTGTTTTCTGAAATAGGTTTTCCCTAGCAATGGCCTGTTGACCTCCTTTGATAGTCAAGGTGGAGAAAGGCTTACCGGGTACTGGCAGCTTCAGCCACATGGACTCAAAATCCAAAGCTTGAAGGTGGCCCAGACTCCAGGTTACTTGAGGAAGGACCTGAGCCACCCAGGCCACATCAGCTTGGGGCCAGAGCTGAAACTGGAGCAGGGGGTGAGCTGGGGAGATGTGTCTAGATAAAGTGTTTCCTGGGCAAGGACCCAAGTTCAACCTCCAACACCCAGGAAAAGCCAGGCATGGTGGGGCCTGGGATCCAGGAAAAGCCAGGCAAGGTGGGGCCTGGGATCCTGTCACTGGGCCGGCAGAGACAGGCTGGTTCCTGGGGCTTGCTGGCTGGCCAGGCAAGCCTAGAGTGAACTTCAAGTGAGCTGAGATCCTGTCTCAGAAAACAAGGTAGATGGCTGATGAGGAGCAACTCCTAAGATTGCACACACACACACACACACACACACACACACACAGAGAGAGACATACACTCACACATAGAGACATACACTCACACACTTTAAATCTAAAAATGACCACAGCACAAACTACAGGAGTGCTGTCCTCATAACAGGGTTCACAGCTAGGTAAGAAGTTCCTATCCTTCTTTCCCCTTCCCTTTCACCTTCCTCATGTCCCTTGCAGAAGGTGCCAGCTCCCTGCCTCTTGCAGGGCTGGGTGAAAGGAGGTGCCCGCTGGAGAGGGGCATGGCTTCTTCAGGTCTCAGCTCCTGCCCGGTGGCCTCTCTGTGACACTCGATGGACCACCCATGTGACACACATCAGTTCCACACCCCTCCCATGCCAACCCTAGTCTCACTCTGCCCCAGCCCCCACCCCATGCCAGCCCTGGTCCCACTCTGGCCTCCACCCTCCCTGAGCTCGGCTCACAGCTGTGGAAAGGGCACTGAGTGACCCCCCGCAGCCACGCTGGCTGGCTGCTGTCCATCTGAAAGAAACATGCAGCAAATGGGAGCTTTGACAAGCCAGGTCACGGAGACCTGGGCATTCACCACACCCTCCCAATGTCCTGTTCTGTGATTGGGACTGTCCCCAAGACAGAGCAAGCTCAGCCAGGGGCTGGCACCACAAGACCCCACACCGTTACCCACTCTCTTCCCACATAGTTCCCTTCATTCCGCTAGGATTCCCCCCTGTCTGCGCCCCACCTTCACCTCTCTCTACAGACATCAGGTCCATGGTCTTGCTCCTCCCTTTCTGCATAGCAAAGCTGAGGCTCAGGGATGCAAAAGAAACTCAGCTTCCTTGTGAGGGACCTAGCACTCCAGTCAGTCAGGGAAGAGGAATGGAGACCCCTCTCATGCTAAATTCCCTCTTCTCTTCAAGCCTCAGCTTCCCTGCCTGACCCTGCCGTTTTGCAGGGAACACTTGGGGGCTTGTTTTGTTTCCTGTCTCCATACAATCGACACCGGTCACACAGGCCAACATGGAGTCGTGTGTGCTTACACAGCCTTCTTCACTCCATTCTCCATTCCCTCAAAGCCTTTCTTCCTGGTGCCAGCAGCTAGGAGCAGGCCCCTTCACATTTTCCAATTAGCATAAAACCCTGTCCATGCTACCCCCAGGGACAAAGCACTGCTTTCACAAATCAGGATCCCAGCCTAAACCCAGTATTGGGTCTTGCATTTGTCATTCAAGAATACCCATGCAGAGTGTGTGCACATCTGTGTTCATGGCAGCCACAACCCCAGCAGCCCAAAAAGAAAACCATGGTGTCCACCAGGGTGAATATAGAAGCAAGATGTGGTTTACCTGTAAGGCAAGACGGCACTTGCTGAGGAAAAAGACAGCAATGTGGAGAGTCCCAGGGATGCCACGGATACTGGAGGACATAAATGGTCACATGGCAGCATCTGTGAGGAATACGCCCTATGAGAACCCAATAGAGGCCCCCTGGGGCTTCAGGGGCTGGGGCAGGAGCTCAGGGTGGGGGAGGGGAGGACAGGGAATGTTTGTAACAGGAGAGCTGGGCATGCCCAGCTTGTGACAGGACTCAGTGGTTACCTGAGATGGTTGCTTGTCTGTTAGCTAAGGGTTCCTTAATTGTTACTTTTCCCAGATAACTTCCAAGTAACTTAGGCTGGCTTTGAACTTACAACATAGCAGAGCAATCCCTCATCCCTCCATCCTTTGGCTCCACCTTCCCCATGCTGAGAGTACAGGCTTCTCCTGCCAGGTCTGGCTTAAAATGGCTACTTTTGTGATAAGTAGCTTTTATCTCAACTAAAAACAAATTTCTACTCTTTTGAAACCAAAGATGGGGGGCAGAAAAGGCAAAATGCAGGATCCATTGTAAGTTTCTTTCTTTTAATTAAAAAAAATTATAGAGAAAAGACAGATTAGAAACAAAAACTTTAAAACAAGCATACAACAATGGCCACCTGGCGGTAACTAGCAATGCTTCTTCTTTGGTTTGTTTGTTTGTTTGTTTGTTTTCTGAAACAGGGTTTCTCTGTGTAGCTCTGGATGTCCTGGCACTCGCTCTGTAAACCAGGCTGGCCTCAAACTCACAGAGATCCGCCTGCCTCTGCCTCTGCCTCTGCCTCTGCCTCTGCCTCTGCCTCTGCCTCTGCCTCTGCCTCTGCCTCTGCCTCTGCCTCTGCCTCCCCAGTGCTGGGATTACAGGTGTGCACCACCACAGCCCGGCTGCAATGGCTCTTTCTAATGGCCATATAATATACCTGGTACAAACAGACAAGCATAGAGCCAACCTCTGTTCTCCCGGACAATGGGTGGCGACTTTTCACTCAGGCCCTGTCCTTTTTCCTTCCTTTTCAAATGAGAAAAGGGAATGACAGAACTCGAACTCCGGGCCCAACCCCACTGCCTACTAAGGAGAAAGCACACAGTGGCAGAAGGCCTGATTTCCTGACAGAGACAGCTGAGAACTGAGGTGAGTCACACGGGGCTTTTCCCAGATGTCCGGGGTGCTCACAGATGTCCTGGCTGTGGGAGAGACACAGGTAGGTGACAGGAGGCGGCCGCTGGGAGGGTGGGGTTTACACAGGGCTGTCAGGGGGGGAGGGGAAACCTTGCTGGGAAGAGCTGAGACCCAAAGGAATGAGGAGAGAGGCCTGTGGTTTTGTCCACCTGGGGAACAATGTTCCAAACAGAGGGAGCAGCATTTGTAAAACCCTGGAGACAGGGGCTGCAGGGTACTGGGTGTGTGTGTGTATGTGTGTGTCTGTGTCTGTGTGTATGTGTATGTATATGTGTGTATGTGTGTGTCTATGTATGTGTGTGTATATGTGTGTGTGTGTCTGTGTGTGTGTATGTGTATGTGTGTGTATGTGTGTGTGTGTGTATCTGTGTGTATGTGTGTGTCTATGTATGTGTGTCTGTGTATCTGTGTGTATGTCTGTGTGTGTCTGTGTGTGTATGTCTATGTATGTGTGTATGTATCTGTGTGTATGTGTGTGTTTATGTATGTGTGTGTATATGTGTGTATGTGTGTGTGTTTATGTATTTGTATGTATGTGTATGTGGCTGTATCTGTGTGTATGTGTGTGTCTATGTATGTGTGTATGTGTCTGTGTGTGTATGTGTGTATGTCTACGTATGTGTATGTGTGTATGTATCTGTGTGTATGTGTGTATGTCTATGTATGTTTGTGTGTATGTGTGTGTGTGTCTCTGTGTGTATGTATGTATCTATGGATGTGTGTGTGTGTATGTGTGTGTGTCTCTGTGTGTATGTATGTATCTATGGATGTGTGTGTGTGTGTGTGTGTGTGTCTCTGTGTGTATGTATGTATCTATGGATGTGTGTGTGTGTGTGTGTGTGTGTCTCTGTGTGTATGTATGTATCTATGGATGTGTGTGTGTGTGTGTGTGTATGTGTGTGTGGGGGGGGGGTGGTTACAGGATACAATGAGGCACTGGGAGTGTCTGGGAGTGAGGTGAACAAGGAGGTAGGGCAAGCCACCAAGAGCTGTGCCTCTGCTCAGGTACCATGGCTTTTTCTTGGAAAGATCTAGAGTGAGGTAGGGTAGAGTAACACAGGGGCTCTCCAAAGCTGCTCTGCCAGTGCTGGGGAGGGAGGGGGTAGGTGAGGGGGTCAGTGC